GATTACAAGGGGTTAAGAATTAAGTGATAGGTGAGTAAAACAAATCAATGAGTACAGAAAGGTTTTTTCCCCCTATGATTCTGGCTATGAAAAGGAAGAGAGATATAGAATTATATAATATATTATAGTATATGTAATATATTAATATGTAAGAATAGGGACAAGAATTATATAATTCTATTATATGAAGGAATGGTAGAAAATGAGCTGGTAGAAGGGAGAAACCAAAGATTACAGAGAGAGGAGATGGATGGGAGGGATAACATCATGGGGGAAAAATAGGAAAGGACGGGATCAAGGGTGCAGGTAGAGTTAGCCTTGGTGAGAAGGACCACTTCTTCTCCTGAGAATGCACCCACTTCTGTTGTCTGTCTATGTCTGGAATGTATTTCCTCACCATGTCTGCCTGTTAAACTTCTCTTCCTTCAAGACTCGGCTTAGGTGCTTGATAAAAGTTTCTCTGTTCCCCCTTCACCAAAGCTCCAATTATTTTTCACCTCAAGTTTTCTTTTCTTCAATTTTATTTTAATAGAAATATATTTTCTCTCCCTCCTACCCCTTTACTCCATTTTAAAAAAGAAAAGAAAAAATATGCATACTTGAGCAAAACATTATTTCCTCATTGGCTGTATTAAGCTATGCTGCACTCTACACCCTGAATCCATCACCTCTCTGTCAGGAGGTAGATGACAGGCTTCATCATTGGTCCCCTGGAATCATGGGGGGGGGGTCACTGTGTTGATCTTAATTCTTCGAGCTTTCAAAGTTGTTTGTCTTTATAGTGCTGTGATTATCGTATGAATCAGGTTTTTTTGGCTCTGGTCATTCCATTCCTCAGTTAATAAAAAACTTCAAAATTGTTCATTTTTATAATAATAGTTATAATACAAAGTGTCCTTCTGGTTCTGCTTACTTTATCCTGCATCAGTTCCTACAAGCCTTGCCATATCTCTTTGAAATCGTCCACTTCATTTCTCCCAGAACAATACTACGCTGTTCCATTCATTTACCACAATATGTCCAGCCATTCTCCAGTTCTTCCTAGAGCACTTTATCTGGATGTCTCTCCTTTGTATCCCTATCTACATCATACATCTGTGTACCTGCCATTCATCTCGCCTGGCAGATTATAAACTCCTAGTAATCTGTCCCTGAGTGTAGGGGCTACGCCATTTTTCACGTTTATATTGCCAAGACCTCATACCGATGCCTTGCCCAAAAGGTGCTTAATAAATGCTCATCGTATGAATTAACCTGAGGCATTGTTGCTATTGAATTTTAGACACTCACTCCAGCCATAGAGAGAAGATGAAGCAGCTGGGACTGCTGTATACAGAGAACTATACTAGTGCTGTGTGCGTGCAGAAAGGGGGATAGGAATAGGGACTAGATCTGTCATTTCATGGGTAGAGAACCCCCAGTGGAAGAAGCCCCTTCTATCAAAGCAATTTATAGTTTTATGAGTTGCCTAGAGCACTAAGAGGTTAAGTGACTTGCCCAGGGTCCTACAGATACCTACCTATAGGACAGGTAGGTGTCCTTGGCTTCCGGGCCAGTTCTCTATCCACTATGCCAAACTTCCTCTGGGGCATCAAAAGGGTCTAAAATACAAATGAAGCCCTTGCCCTTGCGATGCACTTGAAGACAACAGGGTAAATACTGTCATGTAAAGATATTACTGACAAAAACAACCTCATGCATAAAGAGCAGGCACTACACAAGTGTAACTATTTAGGGAAATGAGAAAATTGATGGAAGGCTGAATGGTAGTGCCAAGCAGGGTTAGTTTGGAAAGGTTTCATAGAGACAGTAATTCACATGCTGTATTTTAAATAAAAAATCCTTACATGGTTGATTGAAGTAGTTGCACAGTTTGATTTGAAAGCTATGAATTAGAAAAACCATTCTAGAAAGGGGTCATAGCATGGGGCAGCTACAAAGAGATGGCAAAATGTTTCTTTAGAGGATGGTTGAAATAATCATTAGAGACTTGGTTTCGTTGTATTTTTTAAAAATCTCTTTGCAAACAAGGTCCAAAGGCTTTCTGAGAGTTAAGTCTTTTTTAAAGGACATTGACCTGCCACTCAAAAAAATAAAGCAGTCCAGAGTTTGAAGTTGAATTTGGTCATTACATTTTAGAAGGACATTGATAAGGTTGAAGCCCCAAAGGAGGATAGATGATGAGGATACAGAAGAGCCTCAAGTTCACACCATCAGAGAATCAATTGAAGGAACCAGGAATGCTTAGCCTAAAGATAAAATTGAGGGTAATTATGATCACTGTGTCCAAGTATTTTGAGGGCTATCATGTGGAAGAAAGATTAGATATATTGTTTGGCCCCAGAAGGCAAAACAAGGAGCAGGTCTTCAATAAGAATTTACTAACTGCCTACTATGTGCCAGGCGCTACACTAAGCACTGAGATACAGTGAAAGGCAAAGAACAGAGCCTGCTCTAGAGGAGCTCACAATGAAATAGGTGATACAGTGCATACATACAGTTGTAGATAATCGACAGAGGGAAGGCATTAAGGTGAAGACCTGGAAAGGATTCTTGCAAAAGGTGGGACTTGAGCTGAAACTAGAAGGAAGGCAGGGACATCAGGAGGTGGAATTGAGAGAGCTCCAGATGTGGAAAGGTAGGAAGGCGCAAGGTTATGAAGGGCTTTAAAAGCCAGAGGATTCCACATTTGATGCTCACAGATACACAACTTCATTCTTTTAGCAGGAAAAGTTTTGAGAAATAATGGCTACTATAGGCACGAAAGAAAAATACACTTCTGCTTTCCCCTGGTGAACCAATACATTACATTCAATATGATAGTTTCATTGACCTTTGATCTCATCAATGTGGATATTCTCTTATATAAAAAGTATTCAGAGTTTGAGGTAGATGTGATCTGAGATATAGTATTTTTTTAAAAAGTAGGTTCTAGGAGAAAGAACTGGGAAATATGACCTTAACTACCAAAGCAGGGAAAAGAATGCATTACTTTTTCATTATCTCAGGAAAACTTCTGGTGTATTTCTGTTTTAAACTTTAGTGCCATTATCTAACAGAAGGGAGAGAAGGAATAGCTTAAAAATAGTAATGAGCTGGAGATTTAATAAAAGTCTACACCATGGGTAGAAGACATTTTATATGCATTAATGTGAGAAAAATCAATAGACCTGAGGGTCACAAAACACACTGAAAGAATACACTCGGAATCAATCAGCAAATTTATCCAAGCACTTCTAGCTTTAGTATTGAGTCAAAGTATTGTTTCCTGCATTCTCATTTAAGAGAACTTTCATGAAGACTGCTAAGACCTTAGTGTGGATACAGATTTTATAACCTGATTAATTGTGAACAGGTCTAAACCAAATACTTGAGCAGGGGAGAGAGGAAAGGAGCTTTCCCCTAACAGATGGGAAAATGCTTGCTTGGAGGAGAAAAAAGAAACCCAGAGAAAGATGTATCTTGAGGGTAAGTCTAAGCCCTGCAAGAGAGGGGCAGAAGAAATGAATCAGGCTACTGAGAAGACATGTAAAGTTCTTATTCCCTATTCCTTGTAAATGTTGGAGGTTGAAGGCAGATTAGGTTATGGTTTCTGGTACTCAGATAGAGGAACAAAACCTGTTATCGCCCTAACCCAAGCAGCAGCTCCAAAACCCCATTTCAGTGCCAAACACCAGGTGACTCTGGGTAGCACATTGCAGGTAGATCCAGAAGCATGGATAAGTCATGAATTTCATTGTGAAAACCCATGTTATAGATTTTATCATGTAAGAAAGTAATAAAAAAGGGTTTTGAGGCAAGGGGGTAGGGAAGAATAAATATAGTCATATAACTGATTGGATCAACTGAAACAAATCAACAGAATGGATCTGACTCATTATTTCACATTGCTTGCCTTTTTTCTATCAATTGCATAGATGTTAGGACACAATGTACAAGGCCAAATACTTGAACTTACACCTGCTAAACCTTTCTAGTAATTTAATCAGCTGTAAAATACTTAAAGTGCTCAATGTGCCAGTGCAGATTTGCATGCTTCAAACTGAACATTCAGAGGCAAATGAGACTATTCACACACAGCGTGATTCATTATTTCTACCCTTATAGAGTATAGAAACACTCAGACACAGAATCATCCACAATGGGAGTGCCATTTTTTTTGCTGACAAGATAAGTTTTAAAATTTTATTTTTACACTAGGATTAAGAATATGTGGATTCTGAACACCCAACAGGTAAGTGTTAAATAAAATGCAATCTCATGTGCTTAGGACCAAAGTCTCTAAATGCACTCACAACACACCATGCAATTCCACTTAGCTTAGGGCTGTCCAAGTGCAGCACATGATTTTGCCATTTTACCAGAGGATAACTGTAGGAAGTCAACAAAAATTTCAATATGTATGTTATATCCTGTAGTCAAACACTAATTTGCAAAAAAGGAGAGATCAGAGGGGCAAGAATCCAAGTCTTTGGACTATCTAGGTCTCCTGAGAGGCAGATCACACCCAAGCCCTAATGGCTTGGGTGTTTGCATTTAATGGTATTCAAATGCAAACATTTTTACAGTAACAAATCAATGTCAGCTGATGGTGGTAAAATATATAGACTTGTGACAATCTCCTTACATGGAGCAAGTAAACATCAGTTAAGTGAAATTTCTATCTTTTTTTTATAAGCAAAATGCAGAGGTGATTTCCAATACTACTGCTTATAAGTTATATTATTTGTTCAAAGTATTTTAATAACTAATCTCAACAACTTGAAAAAAAAATGTTGATAAAAATGTATTAATTAGCATCTCTCCATCACAATCTTAAGATCACTTGACATTTCCTAAAGAGTTCCTTCTCTAAGACTGAAACTAAACCTAGTATTTAATCACTAATATAGTCTTTAAATAACTAAATGCGGATTCATTTAATGAGGTATGTTCGAATACAGGACTTTTCTGAAGGATGATGAAATCCAGCTTAAAAATAAATAAAACACACACACACATGTGTTTACAAACATTTATTACTTTTCTCTCATATCATGGACCCCCTCCATTGGACAATTAATATTTTTTTTAAAACCTTCACAAAATAACACCAAAAAAGTCCAGCCACCAAAAAAAAAAAATTCCATACTGGCCACGTCCAAAAGGTGAGTGGTGTGATTCACCTTCAGCCTTCTAGACTCATGGTTTATCATTGTATTGATCAGAGATGTGGTCTTTCCATTGTTCTTCTCTGTAATGCTGATATCATTGAATAAATTGTTCTCTTAGTTCGGTTTACTCCAAGTCAACAAGCATTTTAAGTGCCTACTATGTACCAGGTACTGTACTAAGTGCTAGGGACACAAAGAAATCCCTACAAGAATTTCTACAAGATCCCTACGAGGAGATAATATGCAAACAACTTTGTACAAACAAGACACATACAGGACAAACTGGAATCACTCTCTGCAGAAGGCACTAAGATTAAGAAGGCCTGGGAAAGGCTTCTTATGGAAAGTGGGATTTTAGTTGGGACTTGAAAGAAGCAAGGAAAGCCAAGAAGTAGAGATAAGGAGGGAGAGAATTTCAGCTGGTGAGTATGAACACGGAAGTGTAACACCTGCAGGTGATGGGAAGATCAAGACCATTTCTAGGTGTAGCTAAGGTGGGATGGAGGAGTAAGTTGAGGTTAAGGTGTTTGGAGAAGTATGAATATGTACAATGAAGTCCCTTAGTATGAGAGCAGGAGTTGGAGAGATGAAGAGAAAGACCATGAGTCAGCCTCTAAATCCTTTGAGAAAGACAGTGTCCTGGAGGTAGGTAGGCAACAGCCACCAGAATCTTGATTGAATGATTAATATGGATTGAATGAACCTCAAAAGAGGTGGGTGATGGTGGTAGAGCAAGAGCCAGGAAGTGGTAATGGAGAACAAGGAGTATTCTGACTTCCCCACCAAGACCAGTGAGTTGGGGATGAAGAGACAGGATGGGGAACAAATGAAAGTACAACCAGTGCAGAAATGAGTGGCCGTGGACATGGTGTTATCAGTCCAGAGCCAGATCTCAATGAGTGCAAGATATAGAGGAGTGAGAAATAAAAAAGTTTAAGAAGAAAGCTAGCTTTTTTAACCCAGAGATCACACTGGAAGAAGTGGGTGGCTTTAAAATGAGGCACTGGGGGAGGGAGGAGGCTGGGTTGAGGAAGATGGGAATAAGGAAGTAGTCAGTGAGGGACAGAGAATAAGAGTTTGAACAATGGCAGCCAGGGATTCAGAGTCACTGAGATGGGGAGGATATGACAGGGTGAAAACATATTCTTCATTGAGAAATGAGTTCAGGTAGGTTATCATTGTCCTTAGGGGTTCAGCCTTGGCATACAGCTATCTCACAGCATCAGACAGCTGTGTGTAGTTTGGGGGGGGGGGACACTGTGAAGGGGAAAACAGAAGCATCAAGGCAACTGCTTTAGAGTTGTAGGTGGCCACAGAGGGTGCCTGGAAGTTGATGGAATGATTGCTCAGGGAGGCTATGTAGGTCCCCTCTTTCCAAGGCAGGTGGAGGTGAGGTAACTGTGGTGGTGTTGCAGGTACTGGAGAGGGTATCTGGAACTTGGCTGCTCAGAGAGGCTAAGAAGCTAGCTGAACTCAGGCCTGCCATGTGCCCATGACACAGACCAAATGCTAACTCACCTCCAGGAGAAGCAACAGCTTCTCTAAGGTCTTGACACACAGTCCTGGAACAAAAGCCCAGCTAACCACAGTTCCAGACCTACAGGAGTATAGCAGCACTAAGTCTGCCCTGTTCTTCCACCTCTGCTATGTCTGATGCATTCTTTCTCCTCCAGGTCACTTCACTCTGAATCGGATCACAGAGTTCTTCCCACTTCATTTGGAAACTATCCATTCCATCATTTCTTATGGCACAATAATATTCTGTTAGATTCACATGCCACAATTTGTTCAGCCATTCCAATAGGTGGGTACCCCCTTCATTCCCATTTTGGGGCTTTTAAGAAAAAAGCTACCATAAATGCTTTTGTACACATGGGCCCTTTTCCGCGTGGGTCTGTCCCTTTGAGGTCTCAGCCTGGCAGCAAAGAGCTGGATCAAAGGGTACATTTGCACAGCTGTTATGCTGCTTGTTAACCTTGTCTTCTTTAGTACGTAAACTGAGCCCCTGTACCCTCACTTATCCTCCCACTGGCCTGACATCAGTGATCCCGTGAACTACCATCAGTTCAGTTCTTTAGTTCACACTTCAAGTCATCTCTTCAGCTTCTTTCTCTTTCTCCACTGTTTACCATCGGTCTCCTCGACTGCCTCAGGAGGATCTGGCATTACGAATCCATCGGTCAGTTTATAATAGACGATTGTGGAATCAGACTCTACCACGGCCAGGGTGATCGACATTGGGGAATCCGGTTCAACCTGCAATTTGCAGGCATGCGTCATGATCTCTCTTATTCTGCAAAAGGAAAAAAAGTTAAAAACATTAAGATTTAAAGTTTGGTTTAAAGTCAAACAGCACTAAAATTTAATATCACAAAACCTGGGAAGAACAAAATGTTAAGAAGTGAACTGGAAGGGAAACTGACCCTTGATTTTGAATCAACTTTTGTACTACTTAAAGCCATTTTCTCCCCAACAGCATTCATATAAGTAATCAATTGTTGTTCACCTAGTACCTTTTTCCCTGATGTGCCCTGCTAACCATTTTGGCCTCCATGGACATTCTGGCACCAATCTCTCTACTCTCTGCCACTCTTGATTTGACTTAGCCAAAGGTGATGAAGTAATAATTTGGGGGTATAGGAGGGAATAGTATATGTGAACAGGGCCTCCAGTACAGCCTTAGTACTCTAGTCCTTCCTGACATGGAAGAGACCACAGGTTCTTGAAGGCTCAGCCAGCAGAACACATGTTCTGAAAGGCGCTACTAAACTGGACTGACTTTTTAAAAAGGGACTAATTAAAGACTGTAGCTATTTTGTAAGGACTAGCAGAGATAAGTGCAGAAGAGCTCATCACTAGATACATTTCTATTGGCCACTGCAACTCGTGAAATAGACACGACACTGAGAGGCTTAATTCGGCACTGGTAGAAAGGAGTGTCCACAAACATTTTTCAAATTATGAAAGTATATAAAGAAATATCTGAAGTTCATAGAACACATCCAAGTTGGATGTGGGGCTTCACAGTAAGCTTAAAGTAATGGTCCCTAGAGGATGTGTAACTATTTAGCTCAGTTTCAAGCACACATCTGATCCCAACATGGGTTATTTAGCTTTGCTCTATTCCATTGCCAAGGCTGACATTCCTACCTATGCCATTTGTTTTGCAAATGTAAACTACTGTTCCCAAGGGGAAGTCAAAAGAATGTAAGAATGACTCAGTATCAGTCATTACTAAAAAACCAATTTAATGCACATGCCTTATTGATGGTTGAACAAGAGAACGATCTTCATATTCAAAGGTAGGGTGGCATTTACAAAAGGACTTTCACAAGCATTATCACACTCAAATCTCAGAGATTTAGAAAAAGGAGCCATCACTAAAGAATATCTTCATTTTACAGTTGAGGAAAAAAAGTTAAACAATGTGTCCCAAGATCACTGAGGTAGGTAAGTGGCAGAGCTGGGATTTGAGCCCATGGTCTTCCAACTGGAAAACCAGCACCATTTCTACTGGACCACCTTAAAACAACCCTTTGAGGGAGGTAGCATATTATTATTTCCATTTTACAGACCATTTAAGACCTTATGACTGAGGCTCAGAAAGGTTAAGTGGATCTAAATATTAAAAGTCAAATCAGAAACAATCTGGAGCAGCAGGGAAGATGATATCCTTTCCCAACTATGGCAAGAGGAAGAATTCTCAACAAAACAAGAAAGAGAAGAGATAGGCAACAAAATGGATACTTTTGATCACTTAAAATCGAAAAGTTTTTGCATCCCCACCTAAAAAAAAATCAGTGCAATTAAAATCAGAAGGGAAACAGTTATCTGGGGAAAATATCTGGAGTATACCACTCTGATAAAGGTCTGATATCCAAGATATAAGGGGAAATTATTTTAATATACAAGGTGTCTTAATGCAGTTTTGAGCTTTACCAATTTCAGAAGTATAAGTGCTACAAACTTACAAAAATTATTTGAAAAATTTAATTATTTAAATTTTATGTGCAGCTATATAGCTTTGTGAATTTGGGATAATAAGCTTTTAGTTTTAACAAGATGGTGCACCTGGTCATTTTGCATGGCTCGTGCAACAGTTTCTGGATGGCTCTTTTCTCCAGCCAGTGGAGGGTGAAGGGGAGGCAGCTTCCAACTCAGCCACCTCAGTACCCCCCATGAGGGGACTTTTTCTGTGGGGTCACATCAACACTGTCACAAATGCATCAAAACCTCCTTTGGATGAGGTTACGGCAAGGATTACAATTGCAACCCTTTCAGTCAATGAGTAGCAGTTGATAAAAGTTTTTATACAAAGCTCAAAAGTCAACCCAAATGATATCTAGCACAAAATGTTGGTGATGTTAAATTTCAGTAAGAAACATATCAGTACCTTAAAACTTTACATAATTCAGCTTTTAAATGTTTTTGTAAGATTGTAGCATTTATAGTTCTAAAGCTATCAAAGCTTAAAATTGCCATAAAATTAACAGATGTCTGTGCATCTCAAGTCCCCTATTATAATTCCATTTTGTCGATGTCACTTTTGTGATATCTAGCAAGAAATCACCATGACTGATATTTAGTAGGCACTTAACAAATGCTTGTCGAAGTCCCTCATTTGGTTAGTCAGTGTTGTATTCTTATTGTATGATGCCTGTAATATGGATAAGCATACACATGAAATCTCTCCATGAGACTCACATTACAGTCCTCCAGAGTGGCTAAGACCTGCAAGCTAGTGTGCCAGGCCCTAGGTGCTACAGAAGCTACAGGTGAGTTATCATTTCCAAGGCCACACTGCATCCCTGCAGAACTCTGGTATGGCTACTGCCAGGGCACACCTGTTTTCCTCTTATTCTGCTGCTGCAAAGTGCTATTGCTGCTCCTTGAGCCTTTACCCAGAAGGCCAGGGCACCCCTGCTTTCCCCATTATCTTGGTGCTGCCAGTGCTGTCCAAACTGCTACCTACTGGTCAAATGTCACTGCCCTCAGCACTACCCAGGCTCTGTGTGAGAGCTAGGGGACCACTGCATCTTCATCTTCCATAGTTTTTTTCAAAGAAAGGCCATTACACCAGATCCCCTCCTCAGTGCTAATTGCCCAGGTCAGAGTTATGAATCTGGTGAAATTCATCACTCAGAATCTGAGGGTTCAAATAAACAAACTTGCTAGTAGATATATTCCTATACCCTCAAGTAAAAAGCAGTTGCCAGGACAGTTAAAAGCAGTCCATAGGATGATAAAAACAAGTAAAAGCCACTGGCAAGGAGGTTAAAAGCAAACTCATAAAAACCATGTTTATGTTCTTCTTGGCCAAAGGACCACAGCTCAGTCCTGGCTCAAACCTCCTGGGGACAAAATTAACCCAAACCATCACAGGTTTGTATTAAACTTTCCCCAATCACAAAATTCCTGGCCAATATCGGGGGATGGAGGTTAACTTAAGCTTCCCTGGTTCCACCAGCATCCTGGCCCACGATGGTGTCCAAGGAACCAGGTTACTGAGAGTTGGGGAAGATACATAACCTTTAGAGCAAATTCATAGATGCTTTTGGGGATGGGACTAACGGACAGCTTGAAGCCAACCCTACTGCCCCAAGAAACCTTCAAGGTATCATACTAAAGCTAGAAGGGCCTGCAGGTGCCATCTAGCTGAATTCGTTCATTTTGCTGTGGAGAAAACTAAGGCCTAGGAGTGTGTGTGTGGGGGCAGGGCCTGCTGGTGGTTAGTCCTTGCACATTAACCCTGGCCCCAAGCTTACCCACCCCCAGGGGCAGTGGTTGTACTCTTGGTGGCACTCTCCCTCTCCTGCAGCAAGTACTACCTCATGTAAAAAAGAAATGGCTTACTTTCTTTTGAAAGTATCTCAGAAAATTAATATTTATTAGGTTTTACATTTTGTCTCTCTGATTTCAAACACAGATGTTTGCTTTTCTTGGAGCAGGCCTTTCCCTTTCCCCTGTAACCCCAAAATCCTAATCTGCACTGTCAGGACCAAAGTAGCAATATCTCTCTCTTTAAATCGGCTAGGAGGAAAGATGGCTCTAAAAATGAATATACCTGTTTGTGCCTTTCTCACCTCACCTGGGGGTGTTACTGTTCTGAAAGATCCGGTGGTGCCAGCACAGACCCTGGCAAGAATTCTTCCTCTCATCACATATTACACGCGCAGAGCGCTTTTCCTCACCTCATCTCACTTGCATGCCTTCTCTTTCCCTTTCTGTTAATTTTTAGAACCCTATGGTAATCCCAAAGGATGGACTTCATGCCCACATCTGCTGTGTTTTCCATGCCAAGCTTCTTTCATCTCTAACTCAATCTCCTGGCTGGAATACTGTGGCTGAAGCACGTCATCCTGTTAACGCGGCCCAGGCACAGATGTTGAGAGGAAGCGAGTGACTGCCTTGAAACAAAGTCATTCCTGTGAGCATAAGACAATTGGGATGTTTGCTCAGCAACCTGGAAGGCCTCAGGCAAGACAGTGGGGTTCTTAACCCGGAGTCCATGACGTTTTAAAATAACATTTTAATAACTGCATGACAATACAGTTTGTATTTTATTTTATGCATTCAGAAATAGTATTCTGAAAAGGTCTCCATAGGCTTCACCCAGCTCACCAAAGGAATAAACAACACAAAAGATGTTAAGAACTCTCCCCTGGCTTTCAATTTCCTTTTCTCTGCCCACCGGCCATTTCCCCTGATAATCTGGATAGATGTTTCTTATCATAAGCATATGCTGAAACAGTCCTTTAGGCCCCAAGAGATTCCACAGAGATTCTTGACAATCAATATGGAATTTTGCACCAAAAAGTAAATTCTACAAATTCAACAAAATAACTTGGTGCCTCATCTTAATCAATGCAACAGACATTTAGCCAACAGACTTCTCTTGATTTTGCCTTAGGAACCAACTCCTGTCCCACAGAATTCCAAAGGCTATTTATTCCTACTTTAAGGTAACCAGAGACCTAGAAAAGAATAGAGAATCATACGATCTGTGATAAACTAAGTAAATAATTTGGACAGGGGGATACATAAACTATCTAGGTAGAGATAAATTCATTGTCAAGGAGATGGTTCCTTCCAGTGATGGTAGTAAATCCCCAGTATAGTCCTTAGAGTGGAAATCAAGTCAAAAGTTCCTTTTCTATCATGATCAACCAACCCATAAGCATTTATTAACCAGTTATTATATGCTAAGAATTGTGCTAAATTCTGGGAATAAAAAGGGGGGGCAAAAAAAAACTTCCCTCAAATTTACATTCTAATGGCTGGACTACATATACA